GCAACACATCTGGCATACAACACATCTGGCATACAACACATCTGGCATACAACACATCTGGCATACAACACATCTCAAGTCCTATACTATCCCTCAAAACTGATAATAATTCACATCTCTACCGCTACATTATTTTCTGTGTCCTCCTCCACTCTGTACAGTTTGACTTCAAATTTTTCCCTTATGTTATCTGAGCAACCTCAACTTTTATCACATACTGTATATGTATAGTGTTCCAATGCTAAGCTAATAACAAGTGCTACATGTGTCGTAATGCAACAACTTTTGTACCCAATATTCCGGCAATGTAGAATAATGCCAAAATGGTAGACATTCGCATTTCATAACTGTTATGCCTGGTCTTGGGCATTCTCAAAACAAGGAGAATTCAATTTTCATGCAATATTTTCTACCATTTTCAGTTTTATTTTACAGATTTGTCACAAAATTTGTAAATCTTCAAAGATTTTGGGTACCGACGTAATGGATTTTGGCAGACAAAAGGGGAAATATTTAGGGGGGAGAATATTTTGGTTGCTCATACTTTAACAAGTTAATCATCTTTGCTCCTAATCCTTGATCCACCAGTGTTCTACCTGTATACAGTGCATCTTCCCAAACTTGGAATGTCCTATTATGGATCCTTCTACACAAGAGACCATATCCCCCATAAATCTGGATTTCATAAAAAAACAAATAAAACAGTGTTGAATGTAATGAAATGTCATTTTCTGGGTGAGCCCTGGAGGCTTCATGGAGCTATCAGACTGATATTACCTACATTGGTCTGGGGCTTCCGTCACATGGAGTTCTGCCTACCGGGAATCATGAGACAAAACTTGGCTCCCTCATAGAGGCGCAGGGAACAATGGCCTATGAAAACTCTACTCTTTGAGAGTATATTCATGTCTGCCATCGACCGGGGTTAGGCACCCAGAAAGGTAGGTGTCTCAAAACAGGCCCCAACTGGTAGAAAATTGCAACCCAAGATCAATCAGAGCCCAAGAACTCCTCCCAAAGTAAAACAAGGGGGAGTTTTTATTTTGAATTTGTTAAAACAAGGGGGAACTCTCCCCCTCTTCCAATGGTAGGGGGAGGGGAGGGCCCTGCCTATCCGAGCTGGTCGAGCGCTTACCAGTTCAGAGACTGAACAAACAGAATAAAAACAGCTGACCAGAGGGAGGGAGGGTGCCAGGAAGCCTCCAGGGCTCACCCAGAAAACGTCATTTCATTACATTCAATGCTGGTTTTCTGTGGGGGAGCCCCATTGGTTCCATAGAGCTTGATACCCAAGGATAAGTAAAAGAGTGACTTACCTGGGAGGTGGCAGTACCGCGTGCCTCATGACAAAGACGGGACAACTGGCTGCAATCGATGGCCCAAAGCCACACAAGACCACTGAGGGCCCGGAAAGTTCATGAGATAACGGACGGCTTGGACTCTGTTCCTCCAAAACCCCTGTGCCCGAATGTCAGCCTAAGATATGTTCCCAAAAACAGCAGCAAGAGCCGCAAACTTAAAAACATCATGGGCACGATGGTAGACTGCAGACTGCGGTCTATGAACCCATGAACCCCTCTGGAAGCCAGCCATCTCATTCTTCGCCAGAAAAGGAGGAGATAACTGCAAACGAACAAAACGTCCACCAGGATCGAAAGGGCAGAAACCCCTGTGTTGGAAGAGAGCATGAAGCTCCCCAGCCTGACCCTCAGAGGCCAAAGCCAACAAAAACAAAGCCTTCTGAAACAATCTTGGACCGAAGGCCACAACAAACCGAGGAGAAGAGAGAAGAGAGAAGAGAGAGCACCCCCAATCCAAAGACCAGGATAGCTCAGGCAGCTCATGAACTGGCTGGAGGTGGAAAAATGCATGAGAAAGTTTACAAAATGGAGCTGAGGTAACATCAACCTTGAACGCAAGCTGGAGCGGTTCCGCCAGCGCCGCACAGTAAAGGGCGACAGTATTCTGCATAAGATGTCAGGCATGAAACAGCCAAGCAAAGAAAGACAAAACAACATGAACAGAAAGAAAATGCAACCTACGAAGAGAAAGGAAGTGGCAAATGGAACGCAAAGAGACTTCATACTGTTACCAAGAAGATGACTGCAGGTGGGACATGATGAGAGAAGCCACCTGACCACCATACAGGTGGTGATCCAAACGCGTCAAAACTACCAGAAGTGAAGAGTGGAAGAGTAGATCAAACCAACAGGGTACGTCACTGGCCCGATCCACTGAAAGAGGCGGAGCTGCGGAAAATGCCCCGGGTTCAGACACCGAGCAAGCAGTGACTGAAACCAAGGCTGGGCCGGCCACCATGGGGCCAGAAGGAGAACCCCTCCCCTGATAGGACTCCAGCCGAGCCAGAACCTGAAGCAACAGCTGTACCGGGGCAAAGAGGTCCAGGTACCCCCACCACGACCAGTCCTGCCGAAAAGCGTCGACGGGCGACGGCTTTGCAGTCTGGAAAGAGCACCACATATACAGTGGTACCTCCACTTACGAATTTAATTCGTTCCCAGAGACGGGTCGTAATTCAAAAATTCGTAAGTCGAAACAAATTTTCCTATAGGAAATAATGTAAATTGAATTAATCCGTTCCACACCCCCAAAAACATTAACTTAAAAAACCAGCGTTAAATGTAATGAAACACCATTTTCTGGGTGAGACCCCTAGGCTCCCCAGAGCTATCCAGACTGATATGCAACTGTTAGCTTTCTGACATCAGTCAAAGGGCACAGAGTTCTTGCCTACCAAGGACCACGAGCCAGAACCTGGTCCCCTTAGAGAGGCACGAGGAGCAATGGCCTATAGAAACCCCCGTGTGGTTGGGAGCATTCTATGTCTGCCATCGACCGGGTCTGGCACCCAGAAGGGTAGGCGTCCCGAAACAAACCCCTATTCTGGTGAAAATATTGCTACCGAAAGCCAAACGAGTGGACAGAACTCCCAAATGAAAACTAGCAAACTAGCATGACATCACGTCGCCGCGCTGCCATCTGCGCAACCCCACTTGAAGGAGGGGGAAGGGGGAGCCCCAGACCACTCACGCCGGCAATCCAACCAGCAGTTCTTAGGCTAGATGTAAAAAATAGGCAAAAACACCGCCGACCAGAGAGAGGGAGGGAGGGATGCCGGAGAGTCTCCAGATCTCACCCAGAAAATGGCGTTTTATTACATTCAACGCTGGTTTTCTGGGGGAAGCCCAGTCGGCTCCCCGGAGCTACCTCACTAAAGATAAGGAAAAGAGGGAAGGACTTGGGAGGCAGATGCTATGCGCTCTAACTCAAAAACAAGACAACTGACAAATTGAAGGACCCTACAGACAAGCTGGGAGACCTAAACACTGGAACAGGAAGGAAGGAAGGGAACCCAGGCAATCCAAGTCGCCACAGAGGCCAAAACGCGCAAACAGGAGAGAGCCGCAACCGAACACAACACATGATGCCCCCCCAGCCCCACCAACCAAAGCATCAAGAACCCAAGGACCCCTCCGGTAAGCAGCAGACCCATTTATCACCAGAAAAATGGAGACTGCTGCAAATGAACAAAACTACCACAAGGACCAAATGGGCGAAAAAACTCCTGCGCCGGAGGAGAGCCTGAAGCTCCCCGAACTGACCCCCCAGAGGCCAATGCCAACAGGAAAGAGAGACCTGGAAAAACAACCCTGAACAGAAGTGGCCACGACAAACTGAGGGGAAGAGAGAAAAGAGATCACCCGGTACCAGGATGGCACCAGAGGTGCATGAGCAGGCCGGAGGCGAAACAATGCACGAGACAGCTATTGGAATGGGGCAGAAGTAACAAGAATCTCAATTTTGTAATAAAACCTGTGGTGCTCCCTCCTCCCTGGTAAGTGCCCTTTGTTTCTTCTTGGTGCATGGTTAGCTTCAGTTAGCTTCCTGGAGCCACAAGGAACTTTCCTCAGAAATTCAGAGTTAGATGTAATGAAACGTCAATTTCTGGGTCAACCCCAGTTGTTCCCTGACACCCACCCTCCATCCAGGTCGTCGGGGATGCTTGCATCACAGAACTGAGGGTGGAGCAGCTGACTGACCTCGGACCCCCTCCCTCCTCCCATTAAATGAGTGGGGTAGGTGGGGCAAGCTAGCTGGCGCTAGTTTTGCAAATTGTTTATCGTTTCTCTAGTCTGGGGAGTTCTTTCGGCAGTACTCAAGGCAGCGGTCTCATTCAAAGCCAGCAATGGTTACCTTTGTTTTGCCGATTTTCAGGATGCCTTTGCCAGTGGGTGGCAAACATGAATAAATTTATAAACAATTTTATCCTAAGTGCTACCACTTCCTGCACCTCTGTGTGGGATACCAGGTTCTGGCTCTGCTCCCCAGTAGGCCTATAGAACTCTATGACTGATGGGGCCTAGTATTATGACACACTATATGAGATAGTAGCTTCAGGGAGCCACTGGGACTCACCCAGAACTGGTATTTCATTATATTCACAGATGATTTTTTCATCATTATGGATCATAGGCCAATGCTCAATGCAACCATTGCTCATATACTTAAAGGATGTGCTCACCAAACCACTGAAATTATTTAAGACAAAGTCACACAGGCTCTGACTGTAATATGTTCAGCCTTTGGTATACTTCATATTTAAACTCTAAATCCACTCAAAATCATTATGTAAACAACTGGTAAAATTGTAAAAGTTTGCTTACCTTAAATATTTCCATGTATGTTTAAAGCTTTTAACCTTTTCAGTAGACTTTCAGAAAATATTATTGCATAAATATCAAATTTTTAATAATGTAATTATCAAACATGAGATACTTTTCAAAATGAAAGTACACTATTGTAAATTGTTTCATATTCTTAGCAAAATTTTGACTATCAAGTAATTCTAATGCATGAAAGGATGACAATATCTACTACAAACTTAAAGAGTTTAAATATATTTTGATATTATAAGTTTCACTTAAGATTCTATCCATAAAACACAAAACTGTTGAACATAAAAATAAAATAATACGCACCCTTTTTTTGTCCAATAGAGTTTCCAGGAGTGGGACGGTCTCGACTGATCTTGCTCAGGTCAAACTTTCTTTCATTCAGTCTCTCATTTGTATAACTTATCCGAGTAGACCCAGGAGGAGTCGATACCTGAAATTCAGCAAAATCTGGGAAATAAAAACTTCATTCAAACATATTAAAGCTTTAAAAATAGGGAGAAATACAATGTTTTCTGCACAATATGAAAATAAATGAGCAAGTGTAAACAACAGCCATGTTGATATTATTGAGAATTTAACCAATGAATAATTGTTTTCTTTTCTTGATTAAAACTATATACTGTACAGTCAACCACATGCTTTACAAATGCCTGTTATCCAATTGGGGTTTGTTCCGATAAAAGAGTTGAGATAACTGATGGGGCAGGCAGTCTGAATAAAAATGTGCAGTAAAGATGGAATAAGTTTGCCCTGTGACTGTACACAGCATTACTTAAGCAGTGTTCATAGACTAATGGATGGCTCAGAAGCTTTAAACTCTGCCATGGTATTAGGTACATTAGAGTACACGGTGAAAAGCCGTCTGCTGATGTTACCTCATCATCATTAATCTCCACTTCCGCCAATCAACACTATCATCATCCACCACCACCTTTTCTATCAATGCTCCATCAACTATAATATTCAAGTTAACAAGTTGGTCAGAACTTTTCATACTGGTGAATACAAACAAAACACTGTCGAATTTCTGCAACAAACTGCCCTCCATGGGCAGTCCTCGTGGCGCTGTGGTAAAGCACTTGCCTGGCGCTTCGCAAGCACTTTGGCCTGGTTTCATATCCTGGCTGGGGAGAATTGACTGGGTGCCAATCCTTAACTGCTGGGTGAACTCTGTTCATCCAGCAGTGAATGGGTACCTGGTTTTTAAACGATTTGGCAGGTCATATTCCGGGGAAAAATTAGGATAAAGGACCTGCCTAAAACGTTATGCATGCTAGTGGCTTTACAAGAATGTAAGAACTTTTGTATATACGTATAAAAAATTAATTTTCCTCTAGATTTTCAGGGTGACAAACCACTTATCCGAACACAGCATGCTATCCATTCAGTCTCAGCCCTGAGGGGTTTGAATAGCACGTGGCTGATATGACTTTACCTTCAAGTACTTATAATATTACTATTAACAAAATGCTTGGTGCCTGTCTCTGACCCCATTCAAATGGGGATGGTGTAAGGCAGATCAAGAGATGAATATATTCCAGACATGGAGGCACCTCTGATCTGCAGACTCCATACTGTGTCCACTTCTTATTACATTTTCCTTATCAGTGTTTTCAAAGCCTCTTCCCAGTGGACTCAATATCCAGGAGTGTTGTTGGTTCATGTGGAATCAATGTTATTAAAAACATTATTTCAATGTTGAATCCACTTTCATTTGGCGTTGCTCTCGGATATTGTGCCTGATGGGCTCAATGTAGCACAGTGAGGATATATGACCTCTTCATACAAGACAGAAGATACATGGTATGATTTCTCAGTATACTATACTGGAGAGGATACATGTTCTTTTCAGTATACTGTACCCATAATACAGGATATGTAATACCTTTTCAGTACACTGTAGACTGAAGTTCAAGTAAGATGATATGAAAATACTGGTAAAATGATTTTTTCCCACTACCATTACTATGATTGTGTCAAGATCTGTCTTTAGTAGTCTGAACTTGCATCACCACAAGTTTCAACTACTGCACTGTACAAAAATCTGTATAATTTTCTGATAGAAATACTACATCATTTGCATAAATCAAATTGGATATACAGTACTGTACAGTACAGTGCCTCTTTTAATTCAACCATACTTTACACTAAATTCACATGAATAATAAATTTATCAACCTTTTGACACAGCTGATCACAGTACGCAGTTGATGTGTTAATATATATGCAGACTCACCCGTAATGTTGGCACTATTTTGGCAGTACTACTAGTATTCCCAGGGGCACTGACCATCCGCTCCAACTTTCTTTTCTCACCAGTTGGCCCGGTACTTGATGTTGTCTGAAAAATATTAAGATCAGAAACATGAAATACATTTATGTATTAATACCAATATAATAAGTAAACTGGAATGGCATTCCAGAACCCTAATGAAAAGAGTTTCCCCAAGTTGTTGAGTTATACACCAAGATAGAACAATCTCTCTGTTAAAGCAAGAACAGTGTAACAATGTTAAAAATTCACCAAACCCAATAGGGGAATTCTTCACCAGCCACAGATTTCTTGTCTCTGGTGAGGACACTACAGACAGCCGATAACAGATAAATACAAATTAAACATCCATAGATCAAAAATCTTTCAGGAGAAACAATGTGGGGCACAGCCTGGGGCAGAGCCGAGCTCCACACCCGATGCTTGATCACACACACTAAAAGAATTCTACACACTAAAAGAATTCGAGCCAAATAAATCCTCAGAGAAACAGAAGGGTATGAATTCCAAGCAGGAAACAATGGCTCAACTGTCTCCAGTGCCAACATGGAAGGGGTAATCACAGGAGAAGGCCAAGTCATGCTCACAACAAATTACAGCCTGAACTCCAAAACCTTCAGACATCCTGGAGCCTTGAGCAAGGATGTGGGGCATGGGGAACAGTTACAAGATGTCCATCAAACTATGCCAGATGGACAACAACAAAAATGGTAAACATAAAACCAATAGAATACATTAGTCACTCCAACCACCACTCCCATAAAATAAATACGACTGACTCCAGGGCAACCACTCGAGCACCAAGCAGAAAACAGAAACAGAACAGGCAAGGGAACCTCAACCAGCTTCACCTGTGAAGCCTCATCAGTACAAAAACAAAATAAAGAAAATCAACAGGAAGCCTGCAGATCCTGAGAAACAGGCCAAAAGTTATTCAAAACTACCTGGCAAATCTGGAACACTGTGGGGCAACTAGAACTAAAGGACAAGCGAAGAACTCACGGACAATAAACTTGTCCAGAAGAAAGTAAGTATTGTACTTAAGAGTACTGTAGTTACAGGATGAGAGCTACATTTGTTGTGTCCTGTCTTCCCAGTTCTCTTTGTCATTTGTTGCTTTGAAACTATCAATGGTTTTGGCATTCACCACTTTCTCACTTAGCTTGTTCCAACTATCTACCACTCTGTTAGCTAAAGAACACTTTCTAATTTTTTCGGCACCTTTGTTTCCTTAGCTTGACTCTATGACCTCTTGTTCTTGAAACTGCTGGTTTTAAGAATTCCTCCTTTGTCCATTTTGTTGATCCCTGTTACTACTTTGTGTGTAGTGATCATGTCGCCTCTTTTTCTTGTCTTCTAACTTTGGCATAATTTAATGCTTCTAACCTCTCTTTGTAGCTCTTGTTTTTCATTTCTGGAAAGCATTTTGTAGCTGATGCTCCAGAGAAGTTTGCTGAAGAACGAGAAAGATAAGTTACTCCCTTCACTAGGATAAGGTAACCAAAAGCACACCCTAGACCAGCAAATTACAATTGACATTACAGAGCAGAGAAATAAAATGTGAAGCAGGCCCTCAAGAAGCCAGAGGGGATGGGGGGAGAGGGGTAGGACCAAAACCATTGCACGACCACAAGGCCAGATGGAGTGCAGATGTCAACTTACCATAAGAGGGTTGGTGGGACTAACCCTTTCAACTGTCAAACCTGGTTGAAGTGCCAAAAATGGCCACATGGTGACAAAGTAAAGCACACAAATGGGTCCACAAAAACTTGGAAAACTGATGCCCCAGAATAATTAATCCAAGAAATGTAGGCACCAAAGTGGCCCATAGCCAGAATTGGAGCCACTGACTGCAGCTCAAGCACTTGACAAAGCTGATGAAAATACATACACATACATACATACATACACACACACACTCTCCCTCCCTCCCTCCCTCCCTCTCTTTCCTTCCCCCTCCCTCTCTTTCCTTCCCCCTCCCTCTCTGCCCACACACACACACACACACCTCCCCCCCCTCTCTCCCTTACCCGCTCTCTCCCTCACCCGCTCTCTTCCTCATCCACTCTCTCCCTCTCCTCTCCCTCCCGCCTCTCTCTCCATCTCCTCCCCCCTCTCCCCTTCTACCTTCTTCTCACTTCAGTGGAAGGGTCGGATCCCCCCCCACCCACCCATTTATCTCTCCCTTTATCACTCCCTTTCTCTCTCTCTTTCTCTCTCTCTCTCTCTCTCTCTCTCCCCCTCTCTCTCTCTCTCCCTCCCCCATCCCAACAGGGTCAAGATGGCAGCCAGAGGTCCCAGGGGAGCAGGAAAGAGCCAAGGTGACGAGATGAAGGAAATGTTCGCCCAGTTTCTGGAGGACATCAAGAGTGAGATGCAAGAAATGATGCAGGAAATGAAGAACGAAATAAGCAACCTGAAAAGAGAGCCGACAGCAGCAAAGGAGGAGATTAGAACCCTCAAAGAGAATGGTATCGAGGCTGAGAGTCAGAAAACCACCCAGGGAGAAGGTGGTAATAGTTTTCTGGATGAGAATGCCACAATAAAAGCAACATTTGCGGAAATACTAAAAAAAAATAACTCTGAAGTAATGACTGCAGTGATGGAGGTGGCCATGAAAGCAGCCACCTCGCAGGAGGCGGCACGCTCCACTAGCCAACTGCTGGAAAGGAAAAGATCAGTGGTTGCTGTGGGTATTAGGGAACAGGAAGGAACCAATAGGACAGAGTGGAATGACAAGGACAAAGCAGCAGTGAATGAAGTACTAAAGGCACTAGACATGGAAGGGGCCGAGCATAGCATTGAGAAGGTTTTCAGGCTAGGCCGGTACAACAAAGACCGAGACCGAATGATAAAGATAGTGTTTGCAAACGAGAACACAAAGGAGAGGATCCTATCAAGGAAGAGCTCCCTGAAAAACGTGGGGAAAATTAAAAAATGTATTCCTCCAGCGAGACATGACAAGGGAGGAGAGAGCCGTGGCGGCAGAAGCAAGGAAGAGGCGCAGGGCGAGAGGGGAAAACCAGGAAGTCACAGCTCCCAACACAACACCCCCAGAGGCGAGGGGGGAACCCACAACCAGCTACCCAGTAACACCAGAAGGGAGGACAACCCCGCCTCCCTCCTCTGCATAGAAAACCCCCCTACCCCAAACCCTCCCTGCCCCCACTCAAAAGTTCAGCCAAATCTCCCTCCCCCCACACCCACTCCCCACCCTTCTACCCCTCCCCTCCTCCCGAGTCCTCCCTCCCCCCCTTTCCTTCCCGTCCTCCCTCCCCTTTCACCCCATACCCTCCCTGTCCCTCCCCCTTCACTGGATCCCCCGCCCCTCATTCCAGTATCCTCTGAGATCCTGTTACCCACCTCACAGGTCCTCACACCCATGGAACAGCCTCCCCCACCAGCAGAACACTCACCAAGGAGGCGATTTGAGAAGGGACAGAAGAAAGTGAGCCTCAAAGCGATGTACACTAACATAGATGGAATTACAAATAAAGCAAATGAGCTTGGAGAACTGGTACTAGAGGAAAACCCAGACATAATAGCCCTCACAGAAACAAAGATCATGAAAACAATAACAAATGCAGTGTTTCCACAGGACTATTATGTTTTGCGGAAAGAGAGGGAAGGAAGAGGTGGGGGTGGTGTAGCTCTGCTGGTAAGAAAAGGCTGGGATTTTGAGGAGATGGATATTCAGGGCTGTGAAGGTTTCAGTGACTACATAGCAGGTACTGTAACAAATGGAGGGAAAAAAATTATAGTCGCAGTCATATATAATCCACCACCAAATGACAGAAGACCTAGACAGGAATATGATAGAAACAACATGGCCACCATTAACATAATAGAAAGAGCAGCTTCTGTTGCTAGCAGGAATGGATCTGGACTACTAATTATGGGAGACTTCAACCATGGGAAGATAGATTGGAAGAACAGAGACCCGCATGGAGGACCAGAAACATGGAGAGCTAAGCTGCTGGACGTGGCAACAAGAAACTTTCTAAGCCAGCATACCAAAGAGCCAACAAGAATGTGAGGAGAAGATGAACCAGCAATGCTTGATTTGATATTTACCCTAAATGAATGGGATATAAGGGAAGTTAAGATGGAAGCGCCCTTGGGAATGAGTGACCACAGTGTATTGAACTTTGAGTACCTGGTAGAGCTAGGACTTATCTCCCCCCAAAAAGAACTAGGAATCAAAAGGCTGGCATACCGAAAGGGGAATTATGAACAGATGAGAAGTTTCCTAAGTGAAATACCTTGGGACACAGACCTCAGAGACAAGTCTGTACAGGGTATGATGGACTATGTTACCCAAAAGTGTCAGGAGGCAGTAAACAGGTTCATCCCGGCCCAAAGGGAAAAATCCGAGAAGCAACAGAAGAATCCATGGTATAATAGGGCATGTATGGAAGCGAAGAAACTGAACAAAAAGGCGTGGAGGAACTTCCGGAATAACAGAACACCAGAAAGCAGGGAGAGATACCAGAGAACCAGGAATGAGTACGTCAGGGTGAGAAGAGAAGCAGAGAAAAATTTTGAAAATGATATAGCAAACAAAGCCAAGACCGAACCAAAGCTACTCCACAGTCACATCAGAAGGAAAACAACAGTGAAAGAACAGGTAATGAAACTTAGAACAGGCGAGGACAGGTATACAGAGAATGACAGAGAGGTGTGTGAGGAACTCAACAAGAGGTTCCAGGAGGTCTTCACAATAGAACAGGGTGAGGTCACTGTGCTAGAAGAAAGGGAGGTAAACCAGGCGGCCTTGGAGGAGTTCGAAATTACGAGAGAGGAGGTCAAGAGACACCTGCTGGATCTGGATGTTAGAAAGGCGGTTGGTCCAGATGGGATCTCACCATGGGTACTGAAAGAGTGTGCAGAGGCACTTTGCTTGCCACTCTCCATAGTGTATAGTAAATCACTAGAGACGGGAGACCTACCAGAAATATGGAAGACGGCGAATGTGGTCCCAATATACAAAAAGGGCGACAGACAAGAGGCACTGAACTACAGGCCAGTGTCCTTGACTTGTATACCATGCAAGGTGATGGAGAAGATCGTGAGAAAAAACCTGGTAACACATCTGGAGAGAAGGGACTTCGTGACAAATCGCCAACATGGATTCAGGGAGGGTAAATCTTGCCTTACAGGCTTGATAGAATTCTACGATCAGGTGACACAGATTAAGCAAGAAAGAGAGGGCTGGGCGGACTGCATTTTCTTGGATTGTCGGAAAGCCTTTGACACAGTACCGCATAAGAGGCTGGTACATAAGCTGGAGAGACAGGCAGGTGTAGCTGGTAAGGTGCTCCAGTGGATAAGGGAGTATCTAAGCAATAGGAAGCAGAGAGTTACGGTGAGGGGTGAGACCTCCGATTGGCGTGAAGTCACCAGTGGAGTCCCACAGGGCTCTGTACTCGGTCCTATCTTGTTTCTGATATATGTAAATGATCTCCAGGAGGGTATCGATTCATTTCTCTCAATGTTTGCGGACGATGCTAAAATTATGAGAAGGATTAAAACAGAAGAGGACTGTTTGAGGCTTCAAGAAGACCTAGACAAGCTGAAGGAATGGTCGAACAAATGGTTGTTAGAGTTTAACCCAACCAAATGTAATGTAATGAAGATAGGTGTAGGGAGCAGGAGGCCAGATACAAGGTATCATCTGGGAGAGGAAATTCTTCAGGAGTCAGAGAAGGAAAAAGACTTGGGGGTTGATATCACGCCAGACCTGTCTCCTGCAGCACATATCAAGCGGATAACATCAGCGGCATATGCCAGGCTGGCCAACATACGAACGGCATTCAGAAACTTGTGTAAAGAATCATTCAGAACTTTGTATACCACATATGTCAGGCCAATCCTGGAGTATGCAGCCCCAGCATGGAGTCCATATCTAGTCAAGGATAAGACTACACTGGAAAAGGTTCAAAGGTTTGCCACCAGACTAGTACCCGAGCTGAGAGGTATGAGCTACGAGGAGAGACTACGGGAATTAAACCTCACTTCGCTGGAAGACAGAAGAGTTAGGGGGGACATGATCACCACATTCAAGATTCTGAAGGGGATTGATAGGGTAGACAAAGACAGTCTATTTAACACAAGGGGAACACGCACAAGGGGACACAGGTGGAAACTGAGTGCCCAAATGAGCCACAGAGATATTAGAAAGAACTTTTTTAGTGTCAGAGTGGTTGACAAATGGAATGCATTAGGGGGTGATGTGGTGGAGGCTCACTCCATACACAGTTTCAAGTGTAGATATGACAGAGCCCGATAGGCTCAGGAATCTGTACACCTGTTGATTGACGGTTGAGAGGCGGGACCAAAGAGCCAGAGCTCAACCCCCGCAAACACAACTAGGTGAGTACACACACACACACACACATCCAATCTACAAAAGTGGCAGCAGGGAAGACCCCCTCAATTATAGACCTGTATCACTGACAAGTGTAATAGTGAAAGTATTGGAAAAACTAATCAAAACTAAATGGGTAGAACACCTAGAGAGAAATGATATAATATCAGACAGACAGTATGGTTTTCGATCTGGAAGATCCTGTGTATCGAATTTACTCAGTTTCTATGATCGAGCCACAGAGATATTACAGGAAAGAGATGGTTGGGTTGACTGCATCTATCTGGACCTAAAAAAGGCTTTCGACAGAGTTCCACATAAGAGGTTGTTCTGGAAACTGGAAAATATTGGAGGGGTGACAGGTAAGCTTCTATCATGGATGAAAAATTTTCTGACTGATAGAAAAATGAGGGCAGTAATCAGAGGCAATGTATCGGAATGGAGAAATGTCACAAGTGGAGTACCACAGGGTTCAGTTCTTGCACCAGTGATGTTTATTGTGTACATAAATGATCTACCAGTTGGTATACAAAATTATATGAACATGTTTGCTGATGATGCTAAGATAATTGGAAGGATAAGAAATTTAGATGATTGTCATGCCCTTCAAGAAGACCTGGACAAAATAAGTAGATGGAGCACCACTTGGCAAATGGAATTTAATGCTAATAAATGTCATGTTATGGAATGTGGAATAGGAGAACATAGACCCCACACAACCAATATATTATGTGAGAAATCTTTAAAGAATTCTGATAAAGAAAGAGATCTAGGGGTGGTTCTAGATAGAAAACTATCACCTGAGGACCACATAAAGAATATTGTGCAAGGAGCCTATGCTATGCTTTCTAACTTCAGAATTGCATTTAAATACATGGATGGCGATATACTAAAGAAATTGTTCATGACTTTTGTTAGGCCAAAGCTAGAATATGCAGCTGTTGTGTGGTGCCCATATCTTAAGAAGCACATCAACAAACTGGAAAAGGTGCAAAGACATGCTACTAAGTGGCTCCCAGAACTGAAGGGTAAGAGCTACGAGGAGAGGTTAGAAGCATTAAACATGCCAAAACTAGAAGACAGAAGAAAAAGAGGTGATATGATCACTACATACAAAATAGTAACAGGAATTGATAAAATCGACAGGGAAGATTTCCCGAGACCTGGCACTTCAAGAACAAGAGGTCATAGATTTAAACTAGCTAAACACAGATGCCGAAGAAATATAAGAAAATTCACCTTCGCAAATAGAGTGGTAGACGGTTGGAACAAGTTAAGTGAGAAGGTGGTGGAGGCCAAGACCGTCAGTAGTTTCAAAGCGTTATATGACAAAGAGTGCTGGGAAGACGGGACACCACGAGCGTAGCTCTCATCCTGTAACTACACTTAGGTAATTACACTTAGGTAATTACACACACACACACACACACACACACACACACACACACACTCTGTTACCAAAACATAAGAACCCCATGATCCCCTACCTATCCTCTCTTTCAAGAACAAGGTAACAAACACACAGACACCTGGAGAGAAACCATAGCAGCAACCCAGCAGGCACAAACAACCACAAGGATGTCAGTGACAATGGCCTGCAGGAATGGCAAGATTAATCCATAAATATAAACTGCGATTGCAACAGCAGGCAGCTAAGGAATGGAGCCGAGATCCACTGGAACTGCCTGGAGAAGACTTCCCTCTTCACACAAGAAAAGAGGACCTGTATACAGCAGGCGCAAGTGCAAGGTGCAGGTGCAAGGTCTACCACCCCCTAACGAAGCAGTTCCACCATACCACAGGGCACTGTTGCATCCAAGAAGTAAGGAACTCAGTCTTAAAAAACCAGAACATCCTTCAGAACTGACAAACAACACACACTCAAGGGTGAAAAGACACCAGGAGCCAGCTGATAACATGATGGGGGGCAACAGGAATGGTCATCAAGATTTAAAAGTACTGTACTGAAGCATCCTACAAAACTGAAGAGTAGGATGAAACGAGATAGATAAACTGTAACAATCTGGCCAATTACACATACAAGACAAAGAAACCACAAAGGAACAAGTGACACAGATTAGTTGGAATGTCACACAGACAGACAGACATGTCCAGACAATGGAGAAGCATTTCACCATGATAAGCCGGTCATTAAAGTGCAAAAGCAATCAGAATGTCTCATTTTAAATGTTTACATTAAGAATGCTGTAACCACTCCCCCCCCCCCCCCCCCCGCCCTCATCCCTTCAACAGGCCACAAAAGGGAAAACAAATCTCATAGGGTTCCCAATCTCCCGGACGCAGGTTCAAATCATCGTCACAGCCCTTGTGGATTTGTTCAAATCTCATAGGGTTCCTAATTTCCTTCAAGCAGTTTCATGTTTTTTGTCTTACCTTTAATCAAGGAATTTCATTGGTTTTAGATTGATCTCTAATTCTCAAGCTCTACCCATATCATAAAGCAAGCCAGAATCTGGTCCTGGCTTCCTACAGGTAAGGGAGGATCTCAGAAGTTTAGTGTGATCAGCCAACGCTTGGTGGTACCCAAACTTAAGCTCAGAGAGCTACTGAGGAACCAGAAGGGTTCCCCCATGTAAAATTCCACATCTACCTAAAACACAAAAGCCTGTGATTATAACCATTACCAATGTGGAGAATGAAGGTGGCGGACTAATTGGAAATGAAGTTTCGTCACTAGCGGGGTTGACAAAGGGTGAAGATTCATCATCATTTGTATTTGTTGGGGAGAGTGTGAGTGTCTGAAGCTCACTGTCCTCAATCTTCTTTGACATGTTTTAGAACTGCAGCATACCTGAAAGAATCACAGCAGTGAGTATCTTGATTAGTTCCCACTACACATGGAACGCAGCCGAAGCAGAGTCCCCGGAGGGAGAGGCAAGGAAGCGGTCCAAGTGTCCAACAAAAGGCCCAGCCAAGACCGAACCTGAGAGGGAACCAGATGAGACTTCCAACAGTTCACCAGGAACCTGAACCCGGTGAGCTGCGAAAGAACCGGATCCCTGGCGAACAGACACGTGAACTGGCTGGGAGCCCACACCAGACAGTCTTCGAGGTAGGCCAGAACCCAAATATCTAACAGACGCAAGCGGGCCACAACGACCCGAGTAAGGCATGTGGAAACGCGAGGTGCCAGATTCAAACCGAAAGGAAGGCAACGAAAGTGGTAACCCTGCCGCCCCACTACAAAACTGAATCAATCCCTGAACCTCAGATGAATCAGGATGTGCCAATACGCATCCTGGAGGTCCAGGATGCATATTGGCACCATCCAAGCATCCAGCTCCAACAGAAGACAGACCTGAGACAGAGTAGGCATCCAGAAGGAAGAGCAATAAACCCATGGGTTCAGACAGGACAAGTCCAGATTGAACTTGAGGTCCGCGCAGTCCCGTTTCGGAACTGGAAACAGGTGAGAAACCCACCTGAGGGACGAGGTCATTTTGACCACGCTCAAGCAAACCCACTCCGAGATGACCTGACAGAGCACAGGAGAAGAGGCCTGCCCAGCTAGCCCCGAACCCCCCAAAGGAGGAGGGGCCATCCAATACCATCGCAGGCTGTACAAAATGACCCGAAAGGCCCACAAATTGTGGGACCAGGCGGGAGCAAACAGCGCGAGCCTCCTCCTCATCAATGGGGCCGACGCACCTTATGAGCACCTAAGCAGCTGCGCCAGATCAGGCACCACTGACCTACCAGGACAGAAAGAACCCCGAGCCCTGACACGACCCTTCCGGGGAGGTCCCCGACAAGCCCCCCGGAAGACTAACATGTCCGACATAGGAAGGCAACTAGACGAAGCCGCCTGCAGGTGGGCAAAAAGGTGAAGACAGCCAAAGAGCCAGAGCCCAAGCAGATTTCAGAGAAGAAGAAGCGAGTACCACCCGCCGACATGCAAGGCGGGAAGCAAAAAAGCACGAAACAGCATCTTGAACGATTAGCGCGAACAGCTTCAACAAATCAGACCACACACGCACCGCCGAAGGCAATTCACCAAACCCAGAGGCGGTCCCAAGCACCCCCACATCCACCTCAAGCTAGTCGGAACACAGCTTGAGCAGGGAGAAGAAATGCAGGGCCAAACCCAACAGGCCACGTGTGTGCAAGGCCTCCGCGACCAACGCAGGCGAAAGGGAAGGAAGCTGCACATGAAGCTGCAACACACCAACATCCTGCAGAGGGACAGGGGCAAACAAGACAACCCCACTCCTTGCAACACCAAGCCCCGCTCCAAATGTACAAAAACCCAGGTGGGGTCCAACAGAGCCCAAGGCTTCCAAGTTAACCCCTCCCTCAGCCCGGGAACTTCACCCCGAGGACCAGGGGTCGAGCCGTCCTCTTAACCCCCCCCCCCCTCGCCTCTAGAGAAAAGGCAGGAGCCACTGAAAAAGCAGGAGCGAAGGGGGCCCACTGGACAGACCCAGAAGCTCTGGCAAGAGGACCAGGCTTGAATGCCGTCACCACTGTCCCGGAAGGGGACTCCCCAAAAACTGCCCGAGACTCAAAACCAACTAGACCCTGCTCCGACTCCGAAACTCTTCAGACGTTTCGGAGCCAGAAGCAAGGAAGGGGGGGATGTACTGGATGAGTAAGCTCCAGGAATAGGTAAAATAGGTAAGCTTACGCTTACCTATTTTATGTGGGAGCCATAGGGGCTCCCCACATAAAATAGTAATATTTCCCTTTTGCACAAGTTATTGTATAAATTGAAGAACAAATGTTACTCTATAAAATGAACCTGGAATGGACACTACATTCAAAACACACGGGTATATTAAAAAAAATTGTCTTGGTACTACAGTTGAGTTTGTTTTAAACTCACAATCAAGAATCCTGGGTTTGACATCCTAGTGGATGGGACAGAAAATTGTTAGGCACATTCCTTTCACCAGATGCCTCTATTCACCCACAAGTGAATCAGCAAATTATTAAATTGTTGTGGGGTTACACCCTGGAGAAGGTCAGTAGTTTGACCTTGGGGAACCTTGATATAAGCCTAACATATACAGTATATATACACACAGACTGCCTGTCCTGACAACACAAATTGTTAATTATTAGTCAATGCCGATATCTGAACAAATAGGTATTTTACCCATTTCCCACACAGTTACAGCAGTATAAACAAGTAGAATAGTAGTAGAATAACAAGTAGAATAATAAACAAGTAAACAAGTAGTATAAACAATCTGTATACTGTAGAATACATCTTCAAAATATCCTATTACCCATATCTTGAGATGATTTCGGGGCTTTAGTGTCCCCGCGGCCCGGTCCTCGACCAGGCCTCCACCCCCAGGAAGCAGCTCGTGACAGCTGACTAACACCCAGGTACCTATTTTACTGCTAGGTAACAGGGGCATAGGGTGAAAGAAACTTTGCCCATTGTTTCTCGCCGGCGCCTGGGATCGAACCCAGGACCACAGGATCACAAGTCCCGCGTGCTGTCCGCTCGGCCGACCGGCTCCCTCCCATAATCTCTATCCTACTGCTGAGCAAATACCAAATGTACATGGTCACCATGATTACATTTTTCGTAATTTTTTTTAGTCGCATGTTAACTGCACTGTACAGTATTGGTCTTCTGATGATGATAGTGAAGAGACAAAGTAGAACACGCTTCAAACATGGTAGCTTAGCTTACAAATGTTATAATACCCAAACAGTTTTTATATACCACATTTCTTATGACAAATTACAAAAGATGTTTGGCACTAAAGGGATCAAGACTATGATATGAATTATGTTTAATTGCCAGTCTTAGGCCTGAGCTATGGTTATTCACGCTTTACAAAACAATGGCAGGATGTCTTCTTCAATGATAAACCTACATTAAAATTTAACAGTGAGGAAAAGTTGTGCTGTAGTTAAATTGCCCATGCTTTAAGGAGTTTCACGAATATAAACAAATGTAGCATGTTTATCATAAAATTAAGATAGTAGCAGCTGGAAATAAACACTGTTTAAAACTTCTGTAATATTCAACTACACTATAACTTGGTATCAGCAAGCCTACCAGATTGAGGGAATGAGTTAAGCCTGCCTGGAAATGACAGAGTTGGAACTCCTGAAAAGGAGGAATTAAGTAAGCTGCTTTTGAGATAGGATCTGACTACAGTAATGGGCAATATGAATATGGATTATGTGCATAAACCCTATCATAGCACATCACCTCTACTGTAATGTAACATGACTGCTACAAGATTCAGATTCAGATTCAGATTCAGATGTTTATTCAGGTAAGGTATATACATACAAGTGATGTTACATTAATGGATTGATATATAGATAGAGCTAGTACATACAATGCCTAAAGCCACTATTACGCAATGCGTTTCGGGCAAGAAAAACATTAATATCTAGAACTTAATACTAATTGAGCATAAAGAATAAAAAGTGTTGAGAACAAATACAAATAAAGATATAAAAAAAAAGGGGGAACATGACTGAAAAAGCAGCACAAATACAATAGATTGACAAACAGTGTTGATTAAAAAAAAAAAAAAAAAAAAAAAAAAGAAGAAAATAACAGACATGGGTTGACAATAGAGGAGTGAGGTAGATTACAGGGAATTTATTAGGTAGTGTTTAGTTTTTATCTTAAACTGGTTGAGAGAGGTACAGTCTTTAACATGGTTGGGAAGGTCATTCCACATTCTGGGCCCCTTGATTTGCAGAGCATTTCTAGTTTGATTAAGACGTACTCTAGGAATATCAAAACTGTATTTATTTCTGGTGTGGTGCTCATGGGTTCTGTTACACCCTTCTATGAAGCTTTTAAGATCAGGATTGGCATTATAGTTTAGCGTTTTATATATGTATAATACACATGAGAGAATGTGCAGTGACTTAATATCTAACATATTAAGAGATTTGAGTAGGGGTACCGAGTGATGTCTGGGGCCAGAGTTGGATATTGTTCTAATAGCGGCTTTGTGTTGGGTAATTAGAGGACGTAAGTGATTTTGGGTAGTAGAACCCCAAGCACAAATACCATAGTTGAGATAAGGATAGATAAGGGAGTAATAGAGAGTCACCAGGGCAGGGTGTGGTACATAATATCTGATCTTAGAAAGAATGCCCACAGTTTTTGAAACTTTTTTTGATATATTTAGAATGTGTCCCTGGAAATTCAGCTTGTGGTCAATGAGAATGCCAAGGAATTTGCCATCTAATTTGTTACAAATTTGGGTATTGTTTATTTTGAGATTTATAAGACTAGAGGATTTATTGCCAAACAGAATATAGAAGGTTTTGTCAATGTTAAGGGTGAGTTTGTTGGCAGTTAGCCAAAGATGGACTTTATTTAGCTCAGTATTTACTGTGGCATTTAGAGCAAGAGGGTCAGGACTGGAGTAAATGAAGGTTGTGTCGTCAGCAAATAGAATTGGTTTGAGGTGTTGGGAGGCATTTGGAAGGTCATTAATGTAGATGAGAAAGAGGAGAGGGCCAAGTATGCTGCCCTGAGGAACACCAATGTTGATGGGTAGGGTGGGAGAAATTGTATTATTCACAGAAACATATTGGAGCCTGTCAGTAAGGTAGGACTCGAGGTATTGTAGGGAGTGTCCTCTGACTCCATAATGATGTAATTTAAGAAGAAGGTTATGGTGGTTGACAGTATCAAAAGCTTTACGCAGGTCCACAAATAACCCAACAGGGAACTCCTTTTTATCAAGAGCTGTATGAATCGAGTTAAGCATACTAATAAGTGCATCGTTAGTGCTTTTTTTGGGTCTGAAGCCATATTGGCAAGGGCTAAGTATATTGAGTTTGGCTAGATATGAGTAAAGCTGCTTGTATATAAGTTTTTCAAAAATTTTTGACAAGTTTGGCAGGATTGATATAGGTCTGTAGTTGTTAACATCTGTGGGGTCACCACATTTGTGGACAGGCGTTACTCTCGCTTTTTTTAGAATATCTGGAAAGGTTTGGAGTTCAAGTGACTTGTTGAAGAGCAAAGCAATAGCAGGGGCTAAAGATCTGGAGGCTTTTTTGTAAATTAAAGTTGGTATCTCCTCAAGGGCACCAGACTTGGTTTTAAGGGAAAGGATTATCTCATTGACGTCAGTGGAGTTAATAGGCTTTAGGTACAGAGACTGTGGATAGTTACCTGTAAGATAGTCCTTAATGTCAGTACTGGAAGATGGAATATCATTTGCAAGGGATGAACCAATGGAAGAGAAGAACCTATTGAACTCAATAGCAGAATCAGAGGCTGAAAGCTGACCATCGTTATTAGATGGTCAAGTGGGGAAGAAATATTCACTTCACCACTAGCTCTTATACTTGCAGCCCTAGGTCAGTATAACTGTTAAACAAGTTCTTCACATTCCTTGTCTCTGTATCCCTGTATGTATCCTTTTGTATCCCTGTATACATATAAACTAAGAATAAAGTTTACTCCTGGACTACATTCAGTACTAAAGTATATTATCTGGTTGGTCAGAAAGTTATTATGTTGGACTTAATAACCCTCCAGACATTGTGTGGCTGTTTAGTTGGGTTATGTCGATGGATCGACTAATTGGCTGTTACCTCACATGTTGCCTTCTGCAGTTCCAGAATTCTTAAATTCTTATCAAATAATAGAGCAATACCTGTAATTACATCCCTAAACGCAATGAATATCACATGTAACTGAACATCAAGCAGGAGCAAACAATGAATTTGTCACCAAAATTTGCTGGCTTATGATTCAGATTATATCTATAAATCTGACCAATATGCATGTCTCTCTACATTATGCAATGAAGGAAAAACACACACACACACACCTCTACCTTTCAAGTGTAGATATGATAGAGCCCAATAGGCTCAGGAATCTGTACACCTGTTGATTGACGGTTGAGAGGCGGGACCAAAGAGCCAGAGCTCAACCCCCGCAAGCACAACTAGGTGAGTACACCTACACAAAATAGTTACAAATCTTGGAAAGTGGGGAAAGTTTATGCCAAGAACTTGGGCATAAACTATTTGTGATGAAGTCAGTTTTGATTAAACGTTTTTCAGCCAACTTACCAATATTCAGATCAATATTTGCTGGATTTACAACCAAATATCCAGGAATTTCTAGACTTCCATTTGTACAAATATAGTTGGTCGTAACTCCATTATGTGAATTTTGAAAACAGTGATTAACCTTGGGGTGGCTGAACCCCCTCTCCTTAAAAATATAAATTGCCATATTTTTTAAATTGGAGAAAGTTAGAACACCAGACAACAGAACTCATTCCAGAACTAAATCATCTCTCGTAGCAGGAAAGGTTGAGGGCCACAGGGCTAAAACCACTACAAACCAGGCATGACATGGTGGATCTCATTGAAACATTTAAAGTACTGAACAATTTAGAGGATGTTAATCCGAACAATTTCTTCAAAAGGTCAGACGTGACATGAACAAGGATCAATGGTTTCAAGCTCAACAATCTACATTGAAGGACTGAAAATAGGAGATGCTTTTTCCACCCACTGGGTGGAGACCTTTGACAAGCTCCCGGCTTCCTGTCCTCACCGAGGCCACTAGTGTGTTAATGACCCTCCGGTAAATTCTGGTAAATACTTTGTACGAGCTGTGTAACGTTATCGGGTTGCCTATGAACATCGTTTTGAATAATACTAGTCAACCTTAGCTTAGCCCTCACGAACTGAGAGACCATTCAAAGTTTGCTCACAAATCCCAAAGAGGTTTCCATGATGCCAGATGCAACTGCACATTAGATCATGAAATAAGGGATAAATATGTCTGTCTAATATCTAAAGGACGATAAGAAAAAGGACGTTACACTCCAGAAGAAGCCTCACCCTGCCTAGCAGAGAGCCTCCATTGTTGACACTCTGTCTACTAAAATTACCGGACAACACACTACAACATACTTCTTAACCTCAAGGTATGAAAAATAAACACTTAATAACAAATATGTATATATATTAATAATAATATTAGTCTAAATTTTGTATAAATGTTGTATATTTAGATTTAATTTGATTATCTAGATAAAGTGAAAAGGTATCGGTTCGTTTGGAAGATGGAGAGACGTAAACATTGAGAGGTGGTGAGAGTCACTCTGACACTCCGGGCTCCAGGCACGCGAAGCTCCTGCTCCCGGCTCCTGCTGGTACACTTACTCGAGACACTCAAGCACTGCTCTTGACTACTGGTTAAGACACTCGGCCGCTGCTACTAGAAGAGTCAATAACGTCTACTGGTTAGAGGCACTCGCCTTCCTGCACCAGAGGCTGAGAGGAAAGAGCTGAGGAGTAATCTGCAGAGTTTGTGGAAGAGGATCGCCCTTCACTAGGCAGTAGAGAGGCAATGGCAACGTTTTTCGGTGAGGTGAGACTAGTGTCATCACGAGCTTACGACGAGGAAGATGAAGAGGATCCCACAGATGTGAGGTTAGTTCAAGAATGATAATGTTTATTTAGGGAAAAGTGCATAGATATAAAATAGGTGAGCTCGATGATTTTGACTCGAATATTCTCAATCTTCCTTACAATTTTCTTAACTTGAGAAGGAAGTTGAAAAATTAACTTTCCAAAAGTTAGTTGTTAGTTTTATTTGCTCTGATGCTAAGAGATGCATTTTGTTAATATTGTCAAAGGCAGAGTTCGAAAGATTACAAAGTTTCTTGCTGAATGATATCTATCCGAGGATGAGGTGAAGGTAAGGTACCTCACACAAACAATGGACCACTTATAGGTCCATTGTATCTTATCACTCCTGTTTGCACGATGGCTGCTCCATACCTGGAGAGAGTTTCAGGAGTTCTACTCCCCGAGCCTGGCCTGGGACCAGGCTTGACAGACGTGGGTTGGACACAGATATGCTTTTCTTTCTTTACTTCTTGCTTTCTTCCTCCATTTCATTCTCTGCCATACATGTACATTTATGTATACTGTACATTAGAATAGAGTGAAGAGGGGCCCACTAGGAATCATGTTGAGGAAAACCCAGTGCAAGACGCTGCCAGAAGAGCAAGCACCGACGCTGTCAGAAGAGCAGGCACCGACGCTGTCAAAGAGAGGAGCAGAGTCTTTGCGCTCGCTCTCTCTCTCTATGGTGTGGGTGCAGGAAGCCGCTGAGTGACTGAGATAAAAAGTTTTTTGATGCTGCACAAATGACAGAGTGCAAGTCTGATCATAAGATTGAGCCGGCCCAGACGTGCATTACTCCGCTGCTGCCGGCACCACCACTACTATGGCTACCAAGGCTTTATGTTGTATGTTCTGTCATGTTTTGGAAGTTGGCAGACTGTAATTTGGTGCTAAATGCTTATTGATACACAGCTTGGTTTGCTTAATGTAAAATGGTTCACCAATGTCCAGTTTTCTGTTGTCGCTGTATCTGTCAATTATTTTGGTGTTTGTGAGGATATCTATGCTGATGGTCTGGTTATGTATAGAGACTACATGTTCCTTAATAGCAGCACGGCCCTATTGAGGAACATGTAGCCTTTATACATAATTCAGCACTTATTTAAACCCTACATAAAATCTGTGTCTCAGGTCTTCATTGGTAACTTATTTTGTTTTATTTTATAGTATTGTGTTCACATATGTTTTTTGCAGATATAATGTGAAAGTGGAGCTGAATAAAGCAGGAGAAGAGAAGATATCAGATGTAGAAGCTGTTGTCATATCATATGGAAAATTGGCCACAGGTGAGTATCATTAATGCTTGGGTATGCTACAACTTTGATATCCAATGTCTATGATTTGATTATTGAAATATTCATGTTGTATTATATATTGACTGGCAGATGATGAAGTACAACATATAAGTCCTTGCGGTGCAGTGGTAACACTCGTGCCCCGCACTTCACAAGTGATTTGGCCTGGGTTCGTATCCTGGTCGGGAAGGATTGACTAGGCACCAATCCCTAACTGTACGCCTCTGGTCACCCCCAGCAGTTAATGGGTACCTGGTTCTTAAACAATTTGGTGGGTTGTATTCCAGGGAAAATTAAGGTTAAGGACTTGCCCGAAATGCTATGCATGTTATTGGCTTTACAAGAATGCAAGAATTCTTGTATACAGTGTATATATATGTGTGTATATAATATACACACATACACACACACATATACATACATATATACGTATACACACACACACATACATACTACACATCGATAATACAGTTGTATTTGATCCTTCACATTCCCGACTTCACTGCACCTTCACTGCCCTGACCTCGCCCCTACCACCTCTTTCGTTCTGTAAGAGGTGAAGTAACCTTGCATGTATATTTGTGTTGTAATTGATGAAGACATACATATTACTTTTAGATAGCCTAAAAGTAATCTGATTACTTTTAGATAGCCTAAAAGTAAAAGTCTACTCTCAAGAATAATTTTAATGCATCTTAATATTTTCAGATTTTTGCGAGACGCTTGTCTTGTCTGAGAAATGTATCAATATTGGTACAGTTGATATTAAGATGGAAGGACAAACAGACAGTGAAGATACAGGACACTTCCATCCCCGCAACCTCTTCCCATCGCAGCTCTTTGTGACACCAGAGTCACTTTTAGTTTGCTGTGCCAGTAAAGATGTAACAGCTGTTTTAGCATCCCAGTTTACTCAGAAGGTAATGGAGTTCATTGATTGGATTAAATTACTGTATATTAATAATCACATTATTCATAGATGTTCAATGTAACTTTAGAACTGAGGAAGGCAGGTATAGCTGGAACCACTGATCTTGTTCAGGGATACAATTGAATACAATTTATTATGTGTAGCATAAACTTGATTATCTATTATTATTTGAATTCCTTTGTTCAACCTTAACAAAATAGTAACACATAGTTTCTTGTCCGGCAAGAACTAATTACTGAAGAAGAACTAAAGTCAGATCATATGTTCTTTATGGATCACCGAGAACAGTATACTTGCACTTTGATAAATATGGTAAACACGCGCTATAAACAAAAAAAATTAACATTTTCAGAAACCCAACCGAGTCACTGGTGAATTGTAGCCTGTTAAAGCTGATTTATTTCCCCTGGCAAATGCCAGAATGAAAATTAAAAGAAGTAATCCCCAGTGATTAGTATAACTTTCACATCCTGGCTATTTGTTTAGAGAAAGTTTCAGTTGGACTGGACTGGACACCCATAATGGCAGAGATTTGATGAAGCTTATGAGGATTCTTGGTCCTTCCTCACCCTCTTAGAGAGAAACAAAATAAAATTTATAGGCAAGCAGATACAAGAGGTAAATGTGAAGATGGACAGATACAGTGGTACCTTCGTTTACAATCCTAATCTGTTCGCAGTGATGCGTTATACACCAAAAATTTGAAAACCAAAACAAATTTTTCCATAAGAAATAATAAATTGAATTAATCCATTCCACACCCCCAAAAATATTAACTTAAAAGTACATTTTATACCGAATACCGCTCATTTTGAACTACAATGCAGTATGTATACCTTTAATGAGGACTTTTGTTGGCGTATGGAAGATGGTGAGGAGGAGGGGAGAAGAAGTATTTGGAAGGAGAGTCCCCTTCCATTGTAACATCAGGCAGTGATGACTTTTCTGGGGTACACTCTCTCCTATGTTTTGCAGGCATACCACTAGGATCTGGTTGTCGTTCACTGCTTGTTTATCTCGCTAAAAACCTGTCTATGGACACTTGTTTTTCCATATGTTTTAACACTTGTCTGTAGTGAGACATCACATTGTCATTGCAAAGGTTAATGCAACGACCTGTTACGCTTTATCTTGGTGACACTTTTCAGCAAAACTCTGTAGTTCTTCCCATACTGAACACATTTTCTTAATTAATGAGGAAGGGACATCAACAACCCGCATACCATTTGCCTATTTACGAATGATCTCGTTTTTCCACTATTGTCATCCTCACAACTATTTTCTTAGGTTGAACTTTACCACTGACCTTCTTGGAATCCATAGCATGATATATAATAACTTTAATGTTCAGAAACCAAAAAGCACAAAAACAATGAAATTCTTTATAAAAAATTCAAGCTCGATTATCACTGGGTGGGAAGGTGGGATACACTGGTAAACAATCGCCCCACACCCTAGCACCACGTGCTCGTTCGACCCAAACATACATCAACAGACGGTTGTATTCCAAGAAAAACGTCGTACACCAATTCAAATTTTACGATGAATTTGACGTCGTATGCCAAAAAAATTGTACTCTATAGCACTTGTACACCAAGGTACCACTGTATACTGTATAAAGGAGAGTTAAATTATTGAACAGGTATTGATAGTGGTTTTTTTTATATATAAAATGGATATATATAACAATTTGCATCATCCACCACTTCAATTAGTTCATTCATAGGTGATATTTATCTTCTTTTTAATCCTTCGGATGTATTTACTTACGTATAGTAGTGGACTTGGTAGAAGCAAAAAAAAAACACATTAATTTAAATTAATATTAGTAAAACCATGTGTTTTCAATAATAATAATTCATCCTTTCAGTTAATGGGTTTGGTGAAGGCAACATGTGTAGTGATGGTATTGTCATCTCACCACTACGGTGCCCTTAAAGGCAACTATGCACCTCAAGGTGAAGACAACTGCGTGGTGCACTCCTTACACTCTCCAACCTTCCCTAAATTGCCTGTGTATCCACGGCTTCCTCAGCCTGCAACACTTGATTCTGTGCCAGCTGCAGGTTAGTAATAGCTTTTGCATTTTGCTTTAACTCAAAAACAACAAATGGTTTTCATTTCTGAAAACATGTACATACACACCTTACAGTATAATATATATTATATTAATGCCTTGGCTTCAGCTGTGACAACTTAAGTCTCAACAAATTGATTTGTAGTGCTTCTCTGGTACAGGTACTTCTCTTTCTGGGGAAGTCCCTTGATGCCTCCCTGAAGCTATGTTGCTGTGAGAGCTTCTTAATAATTAGCCATGTTAGTCATAGGCCTCTTGTTGGCCTATTGAAGACAAGAGCCAGACCCTGGGCCTCTCAAAGCCCTGCAACATTTGTGCTCATTGGGTCTCCATCTTATCAGAGCCTGCTTCAGGATAGGAGGCTTTGCATGCAGCAGCCACTTTCTAGGCTCAATTTTTCCCACTTTCCTGGTTTGTGGTATACTGCCTATTAGGATGCCCCAGAGTTGGCCACTGTGGTGTTCAGGGATTCGGGTTGAAGGAGAGGGTGAATTTCACCTGGTCTAAGTTAGTTCCTCTTCATTCCCTGTGATGCACCCAGCATCTGGTCTTTCACCCCCTGGTTCAAGCTCTGAAGCAACTAAGGATTTCAGTGTCAGGTCTGGGTTTATCTGTGAAAGTAGCTTGGCTGACTCCAGGGTTGGCCCATCCACTTCAACGGCAGTGACAGTCGAACTATCCTTTCTCCCTGGGAAATTTGGAGCCTTCTTCTTCACAACAGTTACCTAGCTGTGCTGGACAATGTCATATGTACCAGGCATTGTATGCAGAATCTAAATCTGCCTCGAGGTCATCATGGATGCCCCCCCCCCCCTTCCCGGGGCTAGGGGAAAGCCTGAGTTCCCGGTACATGCGTGTCCTTCAAACATTCTTGGATTTCGGTTCCATTTGATGAGGGTAATTTCCTTAAAAGTGTAGGATTTCTCCTCTCCTTCTTATGAGCTTGACTACTTGGATACTTCCCCACCCCCATTCCCAGGTATGTTTCTGTGTGTCATTTGGTTTCATAGAATCATCTTATTTCTGGAGGTTTCCATCCTCTCTCCTTTTGTCTACATTAACATGTGCTGATATTTTTTAGTTTCTCAGGCAAGATCAGGACCTTGCTTCCCTAGAGTTCAGGCCAACTTCAGCATTTTGGCCTGAGTACGAGGTCCCTGATTTGTCCTGGCTTGCTGACAATCCCTTCATTTTCTTTTGTGGCTTGACAGGGCTTCTGATGAACCCAGGCACTTAAGTGATGGGAAGTGAGTTCCATCTTTCAGATATTCTTATGCAGGGTTTCTTTTGTGCCACAAACTGCTTGATTGTTTCAGTGCTCCCCCAAGGATGTGGGCAAATGGCAGGTCCATGTGCAGCTGCCTGTATTCACTAGAGCCCTTACCACTGAGAATCTCAGGCCTTGTACCCACCAGGTGGCCAGATCAGCTTGTCCTTTCCTTCAGGAGGTGGTGACGGCTTTTTACTTTGCCCAGATTGTGTATTGGCAAGCCCTGCTGGCCCACACTTCTGATTTGGCTTGGTCTTTGACCATTTTGTCTGCCTCCCCTTTTCTGAGGAAACTGTTTCTACTGTTATTTCATCTGATGCTGTTTTTGTTTTCTCAGGTGCTTTTGCAGAAGGGGGATTCTGGCTTCCCTGCTTGGAAGTGGTCTGGAAAGTTAAAACAAAATGATCGACTGTTGGTCAGGGTAGACCTCTGGTGGAGTCATATTCCCAGGATCTTGTGCTAACTTCTGATTTTTTCCTTAGCTCAGCGTGCAATTGCACTTCATAGAAATATGTGTCTGATTGTTGGTTTTCATGCTGGCCCTTTCTCAGTTCACCCCTTTGACAGGGTTATAGGGGGGCCATCTGACCCATTTTGCCAGTTCCTGCTTTCATGATACGTAGACTTTCCAGGTTCTTTCTCGTGGTCTCCTGTTAGGGTCATTGGGTTTTGGGTCAAGTGTCCTTCCCTTTGTTCCACATTGTTGTGGTGATGTGGATGGATTTGGGCATGGTTGAGTTAACCTCCTTCTTTCAATAGATGTCTCAGATGTTCCCAGTCCCCAAGCGAGACTCAGTGGACCTATGGTACAGTCTTAATCTCTTGGGTTTGAACAGCTTCATTCCCTGTCTAACTTTCTGCATGATCACATTCGCTCATGTTTGCCTGGTTTTACAGATGGATTCTTGAAAGGTGTCCCTGAACTTTTAGGAGTCATACTAGCACGTTTCTATTCATCCAAGGTTTTGAGATTGATTAGGGTTTCTAGTGGGGTATCAGGCTTACTGCTTCAAGGTTCTGCCTTTCAGCTTGAATTGGGCTCCCCAGATCTTTACCAGATTTGCGTGATTAGTTGTGACTCGGCCACATCTTTTGGGGGTTTGGGCTAATCTGACCAATCTTTACAACTGGCTGGTTTGGGCTCTCAGTTGGCCTGTGTGTCACCTAGCCAGGGATCTGGTTCTTTCCCAGCTTGCAAGGATCAGATGCCTGGTAAACTGGTGGAAACCCCAGTTGGTTCTGTCCCAGGTTTAGACATTGTTGGGCTTCTTTTTAGGAATTTTAGTTAGCATCTCTTTCCCTGCCTTCTGTAGCTCTGCTCTGCCTGCAGCAGCTTTGCTGTCTAGTGGTGGATCAGTTATGGGTGAGTTATCACTTAAGCATTTGTGTGCGACCTGAACTTTGTGTTCTGTTCTTTTGTCCCTGGTGGGTGTTTTCTTTGCCTGCAATTATCTCCTCCTTTTCTGGCAAAGAATGAGATTGTTGGCTTCTGGAGGGGTCTCTTGGTAATTGATGCTTGGTCTTACTAGTCGAGGCACATCATTTGTTGTGTCCAGTAGTGGCAGTTTGTTGCTACCTGCACGCCACTAGTTCTGCTTCACCGGACATGTTTGTTGATCCAGTTTCCTTAGCTCCCTATTCCAAGGCACGTTTGTCCCAGATTGTCCTGCAGTGTCAAAAGCTAGCCAGCCTGTGGTCTACCGTCGGGTCCATGATGTACACATAAGCAGTCTATTAAGTCTGCCTTTTTTCTATTCATAAAAAATTTCTTGGCCTGGATGCGTAACCATCAACACTTTTTCCTCTTATCATCCATGAATATGAGTCTCCACTAAAAAAAAGGGTGCAATAATTAGTCCTAGTAGTCTAGTTAATTAGTTTCCATATTGCTCTTGAGTTAAAACACCAAACAGCAGACTAAGGAAGCATTGGCAACTACCATATATACAAATCATCATCAGTTATGGACCCCCTGTATACACAAATTTTGTAGCTAGGTCTATAGCATTTATTTACCTCCACAACATTTACTTTTTTAGAATATTTATAGTTCAGTCAGGAGTTTGTATTTATTCACTGAATATAATTGATTACCTTGAATGAGAAAAGAGGCTGACAAAATCGTAGCACATAGGTATTGTTTACATTGCTATTCATTATTTTCTTTGCAGTTTTGACAGAGAGTTTGGTTAGCAGGAGACCCTGTGTAGTGTACCCAGTTTTCACCGAGACCTACTCTACTGGTGACTTGGATTTGGTGGTGGATGCTCTTCTCAAGGTGTTCCAGAGTAACCCCTTTAAAAAATTCATGCCGTCGGCACTCGATCCCGGCAGACTTCACCATTACAGAGATAAAAATCCCAGAAATGAAACGTTGGATAGGTACATGTAACACGTCTAACAAAGTTATTATTAAGCTTTGCGAGCTAATTTCATATTTTCCATTCAGTTTGTCTTGACCGTGTGTGAAGAATAACTGGCAGCATTGTTTGTGCTGTCCACTGTCTTTGGCACAGCTGCAGGTTAGGTAATGTAACCTCAATGAGTGGGTTATATATTGTAAGGTTTGGCTATACAGTAATTACAAGCCAGAGCTATTTTTGTTACCGATAATCTTTTGTTTGCAGCACTAATGTTGTCCATATATTTGAATAAAAGATATTAGTTATTTTCTAACTTTTTTTTTCACATGCCTTTTCATTTTAAAGGGGGCACTTGCCACCCGGATCCCAAAAGGAGTTGAATGCCACCCCCACCCTCCCTTCCCATGCCAACCCCCCCCCCCAAAAAAAAAGAAGAATGTACCACCTGGGTAATAAAAGGAGATATATAGCACTTGAGTCCCAAAAGAAGCGGCATGCTACCTGGGTCCCAAAAGAAGCGGCATGCTACCTGGGTCCCAAAAGAAGCGGCATGCTACCTGGGTCCCAAAATGAGAGGCATGCTACCTGGGTCCCAAAATGAGAGGCATGCTACCTGGGTCCCAAAAGGAGAGGCATGCTACCTGGGTCCCAAAAGGAGAGGCATGCTACCTGGGTCCCAAAAGGAGAGGCATGCTACTTGGGTCCTAGTAGCCCCCAGGTAGTATATGTAAACGACCTTCACAAGGGTATAAGACTCATTCCTTTCAATGTTTGCTGATGATGCAAAAATTATGAGAAGAATCAAAACAGATGATGATAGACAGAGACTATAGGACGACCTGGACAAACTGGAGGACTGGTCTAGAAAATGGCTGCTAAAGCTCAACTCAGGAAAGTGTAAAGTAATGAAATTAGGCGAAGGGAGCAGAAGGCTGAACACAAGGTACCACCTGGGAGGTGAAATCCTACAAGAGTCAAATAGAGAGAGATCTGGGGGTCGATATCACACCGAACCTGTCCCCAGAGGCCCACATCAAAAGGATATCATCAGTGGCATATGCTAGACTGGCCAATATAAGAACTGCCTTTAGAAACTTGTATAAGGAATCGTTCAGGACCCTGTATACCACTTACGTAAGACCAATCCTGGAGTATGCAGCTCCAGCCTGGAGTCCATACCTAGTTAAACACAAGACGAAGTTAGAGAAGATTCAGAGGTATGCCACCAGACTGGTCCCGGAACTGAGAGGAATGAGTTACGAGGAAAGGTTAAGGGAGCTGAACCTCACAACCCTGGAAAACAGAAGAGTAAGGGGAGACATAACCACCTACAAAATTCTCAGGGAAATTGACAGACTGGACAAAGACAAACTCTTTAGCGCGGGTGGAACACGAACAAGGGTACACAGGTGGAAACTTAGTACCCATATGAGCCACAGTGACGTTAGAAAGATTTTTTCAGTGTCAGGGTAGTTAACAAATGGAATGCATTAGGAAGTGATGTGGTGGAGGCTGACTTCATACACAGTTTCAAATGTAGATATGATAGAGCCCAGTAGGCTCAGGAACCTGTACACCAGTTGATTGACAGTTGAGAGGCGGGACAAAAGAGCCAGAGCTCAACCTCCGCAAACACAACTAGGTGAGCCCGTAACTTACCTGGCACAGGAGTGGTGCCTAGATTTGCAGTTGATCGATGAAGATTAAGCCACCCAAAAGGTGGCACGGGCATGAATAGGCCGTAAGTGGTGGCCCTTTTGAGCCATTACCAGTATCAATAGATGATACTGGAGATCTGTGGAGGTGCGAGGTAAACCAGGCGGCCTTGGAAGAGTTCGAAATTACGAGAGAGGAGGTCAAGAGACACCTGCTGGATCTGGATGTTAGAAAGGCTGTTGGTCCAGACAGGATCTCGCCATGGATACTGAAAGAGTGTGCAGAGGCACTTTGCTTGCCACTGTCCATAGTGTATAGTAAGTAACTGGAGATGGAAGACCTACCAGAAATATGGAAGTCGGCGAATGTGGTCCCAATATACAAAAAGGGCGACAGACAAGAGGCACTGAACTACAGGCCAATGTCCTTGACTTGTATACCATGCAAGGTGATGGAGAAGATCGTGAGAAAAAACCTGGTTACACATCTGGAGAGAAGGGACTTTGTGACAAATCGCCAACATGGGTTCAGGGAGGGTAAATCTTGCCTTACAGGCTTGTTAGAATTCTACGATCAGGTGACAAAGATTAAGCAAGAAAGAGAGGGCTGGGTGGACTGCATTTTCTTGGATTGTCGGATAGCCTTTGACACAGTACCGCATGCGAGGCTGGTACATAAGCTGGAGAGACAGGCAGGTGTAGCTGGTAAGGTGCTCCATTGGATAAGGGAGTACCTAAGCAAGGAAGCAGAGAGTTACGGTGAGGGGTGAGACCTCAGATTGGCGTGAAGTCACCAGTGGAGTCCCACAGGGCTCTGTACTCGGTCCTATCTTGTTTCTGATATATGTAAATGATCTCCCGGAGGGTATCGATTCATTTCTCTCAATGTTTGCGGACGATGCTAAAATTATGAGAAGGATTAAAACAGAAGACGACTGTTTGAGGCTTCAAGAAGACCTAAACAAGCTGAAGGAATGGTCGAACAAATGGTTGTTAGTGTTTAACCCAACCAAATGTAATGTAATGAAGATAGGTGTAGGCAGCAGGAGGCCAGATACAAGGTATCACCTGGGAGAGGAAATTCTTCAGGAGTCAGAGAAGGAAAAAGACTTGGGGGTTGATATCATGCCAGACCTGTCTCCTGCAACACATATCAAGCGGATAACATCAGCGGCATATGCCAGGCTGGCCAACATACGAACGGCATTCAGAAACTTGTGTAAAGAATCATTCAGAACTTTGTATACCACTTATGTCAAGCCAATCCTGGAGTATGCAGCCCCAGCATGGAGTCCATATCTAGTCAAGGATAAGACTAAACTGGAAAAGGTTCAAAGGTTTGCCACCAGACTAGTACCCGAGCTGAGAGGTATGAGCTACGAGGAGAGATTACGGGAATTAAACCTCACTTCGCTGGAAGACAGAAGAGTTAGGGGGAACATGATCACCACATTCAAGATTCTGAAGGGAATTGATAGGGTAGATAAAGACAGGCTATTTAACACAAGGGGCACACGCACTAGGGGACACATGTGGAAACTGAGCGCCCAAATGAGCCACAGAGATATTAAAAAAAACTTTTTTAGTGTCAGAGTGGTTGACAAATGGAATGCATTAGGAAGTGATGTGGTGGAGGCTGACTCCATACACAGCTTCAAGTGTAGATATGATAGAGAACAATAGGCTCAGGAATATGTACACCTGTTGATTGACGGTTGAGAGGCGGGACCAAAGAGCCAGAGCTCAACCCCCGCAAACACAACTAGGTGAGTATAACTAGGTGAGTACACACTCACACACACACACACACACACACATTTGTGTGTGTGTGTGTGTGTTTACTAGTTGTGTTTACTAGTTGTGTTTTTGCGGGGGTTGAGCTTTGCTCTTTCGGCCCGCCTCTCAACTGTCAATCAACTGTTTACTAACTACTTTTTTTTTTTTTTCCACACCACACACACACACACACACGCCAGGAAGCAGCCCGTGACAGCTGACTAACTCCCAGGTACCTATTTACTGCTAGGTAACAGGGGCAATTAGGGTGAAAGAAACTTTGCCCATTTGTTTCTGCCTCGTGCGGGAATCGAACCCGTGCCACAGAATTACGAGTCCTGCGTGCTATCCACCAGGCTACGAGGCCCCCTAAGTGTGTGTGTGTGTGTGTGTGTGTGTGTGTGTGTGTGTGTGTGTGTGTGTGTGTGTGTGTGTTGTGTGTTGTGTGTTGTGTGTGAATGTGTGTGTGTGTGTGTGTGTGTGTGTGTGTGTGTGTGTGTGTGTGTGTGTGTACTCACCTAGTTGTACTCACCTAGTTGTGTCTGCAGGATCGAACATTGACTCTTGGATCCCGCCTTTCGAGCATCGGTTGTTTACAGCAATGACTCCTGTCCCATTTCCCTATCATACCTGGTTTTAAAATTATGTATAGTATTTGCTTCCACAACCTGTTCCTGAAGTGCATTCCATTTCCCCACTACTTTCACGCTAAAAGAAAACTTCCTAACATCTTTGTGACTCATCTGAGTTTCAAGCTTCCATCCATGTCCTCTCGTTCTGTTACTATTCCGTGTGAACATTTCGTCTATGTCCACTCTGTCAATCCCTCTGAGTATTTTATACGTTCCTATCATGTCCCCCCTCTCCCTTCTTCTTTCTAGTGTCGCAAGGCACAGTTCCCTCAGGCGCTCCTCATACCCCATCCCTCGTAGCTCTGGGACGAGTCTCGTTGCAAACCTCTGAACCTTTTCCAGTTTCATTATATGCTTCTTCAGATGGGGACTCCATGATTAGGCGGCATACTCTAAGACTGGCCCTCACGTAGGAAGTGTAAAGCGCCCTAAATGCCTCCCTACTTAGGTTTCTGAATGATGTTCTAACTTTTGCCAGTGTAGAGTACGCTGCTGTCGTTATCCTATTTATATGTGCCTCAGGAGATAGATTAGGTGTTACGTCCACACCCAGGTCTCTTTCGCGCGTCGTCACAGGTAGGCTGTTCCCCTTCATTGTGTACTGTCCCTTTGGTCTCCTATCTCCTAGTCCCATTTCCATAACTTTACATTTGCTCGTGTTGAATTCCAGTAGCCATTTCTCTGACCATCTCTGCAACCTGTTCAGTTCCTCTTGAAGGATCCTGCAATCCTCATCTGTCACAACTCTTCTCATCAACTTTGCGTCATCCGCAAACATCGACATGTAGGACTCTATGCCTGTAAACATGTCGTTAACATATACAAGAAAAAGAATTGGTCCCAGCACCGATCCTTGTGGTACTTCACTTGTTACTGTTCGCCAGTCCGACTTCTCGCCCCTTACCGTAACTCTTTGGCTCCTTCCTGTTAGGTAGTTCCTTATCCATGCTAGGACCTTTCCCCCCACCCCCGCCTGCCTCTCGAGCTTGAACAGCAGTCTCATGTGCGGTACTGTATCAAAGGCTTTTTGGCAGTCCAGAAATATGCAGTCTGCCCAACCATCTCTGTCCTGTCTTATCCTCGTTATTTTATCATAGAATTCCAGAATGTGTGTGTGTGTGTGTGTGTGTGTGTGTGTGGTTTCCATGGTTTAACAGGGCATGTATGGAAGCAAAGGTCACGAATAAAAGGGCGTGGAGGAACTTCCGGAATAACACATCACCAGAAAGCAGAGAGAGATACC